ATATATGTATGCACGTATTTGTGTATAGCTTTCTCAAGCTCTCTCGCTCGCTCTCTTATGCTATTCTCACGTTCATCCAGCTCCAAGCTTCGATCAGACAGCACAGTTTGCAGGAGCCGATCCCAAGAATCGGAAGCGAAAGCTTGATTCTTGAATTACCGACCCCAGTCCTCCAAGAGCACCAGGGCCCCTGAGCCTGGAGAATAACGTACATCCAAGAACGCTCAACAAGGGTCTCAAAACTCGATCGGAGGACGACGCGAAGCCCATGGCACTGCTGGACCAGTCACGTCACATGCGATTTGACATCCAGAGTGCGCATGGCATGTCATACAGTGTGGGGCGGGGCTGAGCGAAAGTGCCAAAGAATCGGTTTTCTCGTTAATTAAGCTGTTGAGGCCCATGCGGTGAGATCGTAGTTGCAGCCTGAAATGTGTGTCCACATAAAGCATTGCGCAGCGAAGCCAATCCAGCCTCTCCTGCTGCATGCATGAAACCTCAGCCACAGCTAGGGGTGAAAGTGGCTCAGCGGCCTGTACTACATTATTGACGTGCACATCATGTGTCAGGCTTTTCCTCAGCCAGGAGCTGAAGCCTCGATGCCGTGAATGCTTAAACTCGGGCTTACCTTCAAGGGTTTCCAATGCTTCTAGTCGAGGGCAGTGGCTGAGGTCGATACCAGGATCCATCAGAGGAGTGCTCACCAGTACTCCGACGGTTCTGGTCCAGCGTCCCGGAGAGCATGCTTCTTGGTGAAGTTGATTCGTGAGAGTATGGTCCCTATAGTTAGTTCCAGCGAGGAAATGCTAGGCCCTCTTCTAGCAACTCTTGCGGTTGCATGAAAAGCCCTTTCGTTTCAAGACCTCAGCTGCGTGCCAGCATCAAGAACTGCATGAGCAAGCATGGGTTTCTTGGTCATGGTCATGTCAGAGTCAATGCCAAGTCGTGAGCAGATTTTGATAATGTAGGAGCCTTAAGAATAAGTATAGGGTTTTTGGACCCATTCTACCCTAATTCTACTAGCGAGCCGCCCCAAAGTAGTATTGGTACTTCTTTAGGCTTCGTTTTTTTGGTTCATTCCAATCTTCCAATCCTCCTGTCGCCACGTGTCCGGCCAGAGACGAAGTTTCTTGGGGTGAAGCCCCAAACTGGGTGCTGGTCACGGAATGTAATAGAAACCACCAGTTACTATAGGTCCCCATTATGGTAACTTGAATTAAAGCTTAGTTGAAGTTACCATAATCGTATCCCCCTAGTATTTTTAACCCGGGGGGGGCCCCCAATGGACACTCGGAAAGTGTTTTTATTATTAGGGGGTCTTTTTTTGCTTTTGAGGGGTCGTGCTCTTGCTCCTGCTCTGGCTCTTGCTCCCTCTCTGGCTTTTGCTCCTGCTTCTGCTGCGTCTCTTCCGCCTGCTCCTGCTGCTTTTGCTGTTGCTCCCGCTTTCCCCCATCGCACAACAGCACTGCGCATTAGCGGGCTTTTCGGCGGATGCTCTCCTTCATTGCAGACCTGTGGTTCGGCGCTCGGTGATTCGGCTGGTCCTGATACCTCCGTCTCGTGATTCTGTAACGCTTGGAGCGATCTGAATGCCAGATGTTCAGGCTATGTTTCGAACGCACGTGCCGATCTACTGCACTATCAGGATGAGTCTTATTGCCCATGTGGCCAGCTGCACATCAGCTTCTATGGGTGCGGCAACTAGTTTGGATGGAAGGTGGCAACAGCTGTCTTTGCCCAAGTCCAACCATGACTACTTGCGTCTGATGTGTAAGACCGGGAATCTTCCCGCAGAGACGCAGGTTGACTCAGTGCAACGGTTTTTCCCTGCCAACGCAAGGGCCTCGCGCAGCAGGCGCTGCACCAGCTGCACCTTTACGGCCCGGTGTTGCGCACACATTGCCCGCAGGCAGCATATTCTGACCACCTGGTAGCAGCAACCTTGTGGGCGAAGGAGTGGAAGCTCCCGCAGGGTGTTGTAGAGACACATAGAGACACTTCAGCGTGCAGCAGACCGGGAGCTTTCGCGCATTTCCCGCTATGCGCAGTTGCGACTGTGGCTTATTGATTGTCTTCGCAGTTAACCACCCTAAAGCGAATTCGTGCAGTCTGTTTGTCGGAGAAAGCTTTTGCATCTTAGCACGAAGGCGTGTGCAGCTTTTGAGGGAAAGTGAAACTGTGTGGCTTGTTTCTTTCGCTTTTTACACCGAAAGCGAAGATGTGAAGAAGGAAAAAGAGACTTGCGGGATATGCTGAAGTTTCCGATGTATTTTTCGCTCTTAATCCCCCGAGGCGAGTTCGTGTAGCTTGCACCTGTTGTTGGTCAGAGAAGACGCTTCAATATTATTCGACGTTGTTTTCTTCGCTTGTAGCCGCCCTAAAGCGAATTCGTGTGGCTTTCTTCCTTATGTCTTATGTGTTGGGAAAAGTGTGTTAATTCAATTCTTCGCTTTAGAAACTCTAGTAAAGAGGTTCAACCAATTTTCACTTTGGAAAGGAGATTCAACCTTGAAGTTTCTTTCAAGTGCCCTTGAAGCCCGCCAGACGAGAACTCCCCCCACCCCTGTTGGCGCGGTCCTTCGAAAGAAGGAGTTTTATCCAGTGTTTGCACATTCAATTCAAGATGCAATGGCTCGGGCACGCGATGTTTTCGATCGTAGAAACACAAAGTGCCAGATCGCAGATGCTCGTAGCGTCGTAGAAACAAGATGGGTGGGGCTTTTGTTCCTGCCCTTGCTCTTGCTCCGGCTCTTGCTTTTGCTTTACTCCTGCTACTGCTCTTGCTGATGCTCCCGCTTTTGCTCTTGCTCCTGCTCTTGCTCGAACTCCTGTTCTTGCTTTTGCTCTTACTGGGCTTTAAGGGTATTTGGAGCCTGGAACCCCCCAATTCAGAATAGGTTTTAAAGGGCAGAGATGATTTCGGGAGGAGGATTCGCCCCAATGCGTTTTATTTTTAGCGGGGTTTTTAATAAAAGGGGGAAGTGCTTAATAGGGGTCTAAGGTCTTTAGTACATAACATGATTTCTTTATCATGGTCTCGGCTGTGTCTTCTACCACGTGTTTTTCTCAGCAAAGGCTCACATTATTCATGTCCATAACTGGTGGCCTGAGCTGGGTTGAAGCGTTGGAGCCGCTGCGAGATGCCACTCCGATTGCGGCGGCCTTCATGCTCGTATACATATTTATAACCATCTTTGCCATTCTTAATGTGGTGACTGGAGCAGATGCCTCAGCGATCTTGTGCAGCCGCTTTGCTTTGGTGAGCGATTCTCTTGTCTTCTGACTGATAAGTTTTGGTCCGAAGGTTTTCTGCAACAATGCCATCGAGAGCGCAAAGGCTGATAAGGACCTTCTGCCGAGCGTGCGCGGTGTGGTGTGCGTCTGACGGCATCAACAGAGGGGCGTGCCATGGCAGGAGATCGCTATCATGAAGCAAATGCACTGGCATCAAAGCCAGCTGCGCACCCTGAAAGGCACCCTGCCCCGGTTGCCAGTGCGATGCATGTCAATGTCCCCTGCCGATCAACTGACCCAGGAGTGTTCAGAGAGATCGACGCAGACACTTCGAACATGATCACATTTCTCGAGTTGGAGGACGAATTTCAGTCTTCGTATCCTACGGCCTAAACAGAGCGACAGAGCTTCCCGGAGTTGCCATGATTCTGCAAGTATTCGCGATTTGCGATAAGTTGAGCTTGGTCACTCTCTGCTGCACAGGGTTGTCGGCAGTAGAATCGCTACATCTCATCTGCCGGTTGTAGTATTCCCAAACTACTCCCTGGAGGCCTCGTAGCAGTTGTTGCTGCTGTGTGGACCTTTGGGTTGCTTGCGGGATGTGCTTGAGGTTGGAGAAGTAGATACATACACGTCGGGTGTCTATCTACCTGTCCAGCTAGCTAGCTGCCTAGATAGCTAGCTAATTAGCCAGCCATCTATAGAGAGTTTGTCCTTTGCAAACATGTATGTACATATGTATGTATGCACGTATGTACGTGTGTACGTATGTACGTATGCACGCACAGCTGCTTGGGTGGGTCTGGCCGTCTGGCCTGGCCCTATTCCATCTCCGAAATCTGTGCTCATCGCGCAATAGTCACAGCATAATGATGAGTCAAAGCGGCCCGGCAGCAGGAATAAGTGTGCATTACACATTGATTGCTTTCGGAGGAGGCACTATCGCAAAAGAAGCTCGCGAGCTTTATGGAATCGATGGACATATCCACTCAGGACCGTGTCAGTGTGCCGTCCTTTTCGACCACTACTACTACTGGACATATCCACTCAGGACATCTGGACCCTGTTCATGCCGCCTGGAGCCGCAGCAAGTGCGATACTGGGCTCCGGTGCTTCCTTCCCCTACTGCCCTGCCCTGTGGTTGTGCTCCTCGTGCTCTTTTGGATGCCTGCTGTGGGACTTCTTGTCACTTGATAGGCAGTTTGCACAAGCCAAGGGTGTTGGATGCGGACGAAAGCGGTGAAATTTCGCTTGAGGAGTTTGTGGAAGGCTGCATGCAGCTGCAAGGTCCAGCGCAAAGCGTGCAGCTTGCGAGAATGAGATACGAAACGAAGATCACTCGACAGGAGATCCAGAGAGTGTTCGCAGAAGTCCAAGAGTTGGGCACCATGCTGCATGGTTGCTGAAAGCAAACTACTGCGGTGTCCTTTCCTCCCGAAAGGGAGCTCCGATGTGTCACCGTGAAAAAGAGAAACCCTGGCACACAGTACGTTTGAACTCGCTCGGAACCGTCATTTCGGTCGCGTTGACCGCTGGCCGTGCAGGCAGAAGAGCCTGCTGAAGAGGCGCCGTTGCGCCAGATTGGGACATGCCCTGCGATGCCATGATACAGGACAATATACATGAACAAGTGAAGTTCTGATGTCTGTCGCGCAGTGGGCGCCTCCTTAGCATTTCGTTGCCTCACGTGTAGCTCGTCTGTGGTATATCGAAGGTGGCTTTCGTTTCCGATCAGCTTCCCTTCAGGGATTCTGGGCTAGTGGAGCAACATGGGCTCAGAACAAGCTGACAAACTGACTCTCCGTTGGGTCGGTGCGGCCGTTGCAAGTCATTTCAAAGGCCCGAGGCCCGAATGCCACAGCGATACATCTTGCAGCCTGTCAGGCACCTGTGAAAAAGAAGAAGAAAAAGGACAGCCGATCGATGATGTTGTTACTCGTCCTTGGTGGGCTTTCTCGACCCAACTTTCCGTGTTACTCACGGTCTTCCTGGTCATTTTGCAGGAAGCCTAGTGCAGGGAGCAAAGTCCAAGGCTCAGTGCAGGCGGCACAGCCGACGAGTCCGTTTCCTGCGCTCTGTGTTCGTTGAGCCATGCTTCCCAGAGTCTTGTAGCCGAGGCCGTTGCATCTCTGCTGTGTCACTTTGAGGCCTCCATACGGAGGTACTGGTGTGTGGAGGCCCTCGCAGCGCGCCACAACTGACCTGGTTCCGAAGATCCGAAGGCTTCTCCTGTAAGACTCTATATATGAGTGAGCACCACTCAGCAATGCCATGAAGAATACCTTAGGTCTACTTATTCTTGGCATGTCTTGGACCTCTTCGGATCCAGTTCCTGCACAGCAACCCGTGAATTCCTTCCCACGGAGCGTTGACTAAAACAAGACACAGGCACTCCTTTTGGTCTTTCGGTTCAATACCAGCCGCAACGCGCCTGTTCTTGAAGCATCAGATGTGCGATGGGATTCCGGGACAGTTCTGCTCCTGAGCCCAATCAGAAGGAACAGAGGACGTACTCGGGCATCATACATACATACGTAGATACATGCGCACGGGGCTGCGTCTGCTGCATGACCTTGTTGCGAAACGCCTGGCTCGGGAGCGGAGCGGCAGCACATGGCAGCACGGGATGAGTCCCGGGTCCATGTAGGTTCGATAGAAGGTGGCCAGCCGGCCTCGTGAAAAGAGTTGCGCCGGGGAGTAGACCAGGCTTACTTGCTTCAAAGGAGTTTCAGGATGTCTAGAGCGGGACCCCCGATATTCACAACCCCGTCATAAGTGTTGGCATGAAGTGGATTCTGCTGCCCCCTGACGTGGGTCCCACTAGCAGGACTTGATTTCGCAGGAAGATGTCGGCTGCTCCAACATGTATTCCCGTCCAGCATCATGAGCATCAGCATGAGCATCAGTGGCTTCGCCAGTGCTGTAGGTTGCATCAGCGGTCCTCGCGTTTGGACGATCTGTAATCTGGCCGAGCATGATCATTGGTGGCCGTTTGTGGATAGACTGAGAGAATCTTGGAGCAATGGCATTTGCAAAGGCCGCTCGGTTTACTGGCCGGGAATCACCGTCTCCCGGCCCGGCAACCTACAGCCCCACAATTTTGGGGCGGCCAAGGGTGTTGGCCTATACCTTCGGCCAAGCAAGCCGAAAGGCCGAGAAGACGAAGACCAAACTTCGCATAGTCATTGATTATGCGAAGTTTCGTCTTCGTCTTCTGGGCAAATTGCAGCTTGGCTGCTTTGATTCAAAGCAGCCAAGCTGCAATTTGTAGAGGAAATCGGGCACGGAGGCCTCGCCACCGTCCACGGCGGCCATCTCGGTACCAAGGCAGCAGCCTTCAAA